TATACAAACCCATTTAAATATAAGTTGTGGTCACCTACGCCTGCCGGCTCCGGTGACCGATTCGAGCCCCTTCGGGACTCTCATTGGATGGGGGCTCACGCCCCCAAACCCCCAGAGGATAGAAGTCAAGCCCAAACCCAACCTATTTAAACCCATTCGACTGAAATTCTCAGTGACCCAACAAGTATAAAACCTTGATGTTAAAATGGTGATATAATATTGAAAAAATAGATCAAAAAAAATTCAAAAAAAAATTAAATTTATTTACTTCAACACTACCTTAACACGTTTAATGTACTCATAAGTACTCTTAAATTTACTATTCCTCGGTAACTACATCATCGAGAATACTTTTTATAGTTAATTAATGAAAATTATCAAAAAAAAACAGCAGTATATAACAAAATTTGTATATGATTATTGAAATCTTTGAAAGCTCATAACTTTTAAACTAGACTTCGCCGACAAAAAATTTTTATATATTCTTAGTCGGTATGAAAAACTAAATTGATTTAAAAAAAAAAATTTGAAAAATCTTGATGGGGTGGTAAAATGCATTTAAGCCCTGATGTTTTCTAAAACTGGTGTTTATAACCATAACTGATATTATTGTTAGTTTTGATAGGATATTTAAATATTTTATAATATAAATATATAATTACGACGAACTAAGATATAATTTATAGGACACGACAAGATTGTCAGTAGTGGGATTAGTAATCTGATTTACTATAGAAACTCTGAAGAAGGGAGAATATTTGGTGAAAAATAAGCTTGACTGATGAACATATATTCAGAAAACAAAATTTAAAAATACATAGACGGCTATCCCCCGTTGGTCCCTTAGAATACTGTTGGCGGGCATTTAGGCTCAACTCCTCAATAGCGTCGTATGAATTGGTGGGAGCGCCGATCTCTCTGTTTTATTTTAAACTTTCAGTGAGGGATCGCCCCTAAGTCTACTACAATTTTTATATAACGCATTTTACGGTTAATTTATAAACTAAATATTTTTTATTTATTATTGGCTCACTTTATTGTAATAGTAACAATTGCATAATTAGGTTAACTATAAATTAAGTCTTTGAGTTACTTAATATTTTAAGTTTTTTAAACGAAGAACATCTGGTTCATAGTCGCATTAAAGATTTGATAAACTAATTACGTTCTGTTTTAAACAACTACCCCTTCCAGAAAAATACGATCTGATTTGAATTCTGAGAGTGATAAATTATAAAAAGTTCCTGTCACTACACACTAGCCTCATTACATAATATCCCATCATCAAGTGAATCAAACACTTATAACCGATTTCCACAAAACCGTTGTCTAATTTTCTTCAGCTAAAACTCCAGAAATTTCGCACGAGGTCACCATAGAACCCAAACCAATATTTACGCAATCAAAACTTATAGTGAACAAACCAGTTAAATTAATAACTACTATAGCTATTTAAATTCTACCACAAAAGTTCTCTGGTAAATTATCAGAAGATATTAGATTTATTTCAAATTTCGAACGGGTAGAGAAAGGTAACGGTTGAGATGATAATATAAAACTCGTTATGTTACCACTTTCCCATAGAGGTCAGGCACAGACGATGTTTGAAAATAAAGAGGCAGAAGTGAACGTGCCTACTTGGCAGATAATGAAAAATATAATGATTAAATACTACAATTCAGAAGCCCAAAGAGCAATGAGACTTAAGAAATTAAGAGAAAGAAAAGAAAGAGAAACATGAAAATATTTTAGATTACTTTTCTAATGTTAACGCTGAATGCAGAAGAGTAAACGAGGATATGTCAAAAAGTGAAATAATAGATACAATTTTATATGGTTTGTCCGGCCAATATTTGAAAGAATAGGTTGGGTTGACATTAGTTCATTATCGGTATTAGAAGAAAACATAAGCTTAGGCATAAACAAGAATATAGACGATAGTAAAAAAATACAACAATAGCTTGAAAATTTGACAGAAACCCTTCTGAAGAGTCTGTGTATGAATTCGGGTAAAAATAAGTACAATGTAAACAATAATAGGAATTATAGTAGGAATTTCAATAATAATGATACTTTAATAATAACAATAGAAATGTAGATAATAATTATAATAATTTTGGTAATAACAATGCCAATAATTTTAATAATAACATTATATATAATAATAAATATCAAAATTACAATAATTCAAATCGAAATACAGATGGTAATTTTTACAATTCTAATAATAATAATGATAATTACAGTATCATTCACAATATTAATAATAATTCTTAATAATAATAACGGATTTTCCAATAATACAGGTCAAAATTATAATAATAATAATGTTGGACGAAATCAGGGCGTATGAGGATGTCTAATTTCCTTTGGCTAAAACTCCAGAAATTCCGAAGAAGGGAGAAAATTTGGTGAGAAGTAAGCTTGAATGATGAACATATATTCAGAAAACAAAATTTAAAAGTACATAAATAATAATAAATAGCACCGATGATTCAGAAAAAAAATTTTTACAGAAAATGTGAAATGTAAAATTGTTTTTGCATCTCATAAAATTTAATATATTCACATCCTTCGTAGTTATATAGAGCAGATAGAACAATTTAAGTTAATTTACCAGAGATATATCATATTATAACTCAAAAAAAATTAGCGGTTTATTAATAATTAATTTTGTCTCAAAAAATTGAATTAATAAAGTAAAAAGTTTCATAAGTGGATATATACATCGATGTAATGTGATTAATAATATATAATTGTCACGTCGAATGAATAATTTTAAAAAGTTAATTGCTTTATGCTTAACATGATTAATACACATGTAATAATATTGCGCGAAACTTAAAATAATAACGTATGATATTAGTATAGTATAATATTTTTAAATATAATAATTTAAAAGAAATGTATTAGTATCAAAATTATTAAACAGATGTATGTATTTGTTAATCATTAAGTTAATCTATAGTTGTATTATTTGACGTCAACAATGATATATTTAGCAAAAACTAAGTTTTAAGACATGATTTTTTATTATTTATCACGTAATAATTATTTTAAGAGTTGTTTCAATTCGATTTATAAGTAAGTGTTCTTATTAAAATTGGAACCAAACATTAAATATACATCCAGTTACATTTTTCAACAAAAGTTTTTAAATTTCAATAAAAATGAAGTTTTATATGTTTTTGATCGTCATCATACTCTTTGTTGTAATTTTCATTACTCAAGGTATTTATTATAGAATTATGATTTATTAATTATAAGCCCATTTTGAATAGTTAATAATAATTAATGTGTTTTCAGATTCATTAGGTGCACCATCTAGCAAAACATATGGTATGCATGATTGATTTCAATAAAATAAAAAATATTTAGTCTCATGTAACATATTAATTTACAATGTTAATATCATATTTATCATTTATCATTTTTTTTAACTTATATAATATTGAACAATTAAATTTTAATGATTAAAAATTTGATTAAAATGAAATCTTCTAATAAAGTATTCAGAAAACATTAATGATTTCTAATTCATGTAATTTCTATTGTAAAAAAAAAAACCTTTAATGCCTTGTTTTTATTGGTTATAGATGAATCATTTGAAATCAGTGACTCTGGTGAAAAGTACTATCTGGCTGAAGGTAATACATTTAAGATAGAATTGTACGAGAATTAATTGATTTTATAAGAACATCGATCATTTTGTGGCTTAAATTTAATATTAGTGTATTATTCAAAATTGAATATTAATAAATGTAAATTTTACTTACAATAAGCAAGTTTATTGAAAACAAATTATTTTTAGACAAACTTATGATCTTATGTAATTTCACGAACCATATTGTAAAACATTTTCATTGATATTTATTTTTATTTAATTTTTATAATAATAAAATTTTTTAATTGTGTTTTAACACTCTTTTTTTATATTAAGAACCACCTAACGTTGAGAAGAACTCTAGTGAAGAATACCATTTGGCTAAAGGTAATTTATTTTAAACAGAATTTCTTTAATTATCTCTTTAATAATATTACTATTATTGTCCTAGTAGTTTATATATTTAAACTACTAAGCTATTAGTAATAAATATTACTTATTTAACATTTAACAATATTTAACAAAATATTGATTCTCTTATTTTGATATTAAGAAGAACCTAAAGTTGAGAAGAAATTAAAAATAGTGATAACGGAAGGTAATTTATTTATGAAGTATAATATATAAACATTCCGAAAATATTTATGATTTTTATATTTGTAATTTCTATAGTAAAAAAATTTAAAAATACATTTAATTCCTTGTTTTTATTGGGTACAGAGGAAGACTTTGTAAGCAGTGATTCTATTGAAGAATACTACGAGGCTCCAGGTAATTCATTTGAGACAGAATTGTACGAGAATTAATTGATTTTATAAGAAAATTGATCATTTTGTGGCTTTAATTTAATATTAATGTATTATTCAAAATTGAATATTAATAAATGTTAATTTTACTTACAATAAGCAAGTTTATTGAAAACAAATTATATTTGGATACAAATGAGATCTTATGTAATTTAACGAAATATATTGTAAATCATTTTCTTTGATATTTATTTTTATTTAATTTTAATAATTATAAAATTTTATATTTGTGTATTAACACTATTATTTTGATATTAAGAATCACTTGACTTTGAGGAGACCTTTAATATTGAAAACTATGACGAAATAGGTAATTTATTTGAAATAGAATTTCTTTAATTATATCTTTAATAATATTATGATAATTGTCCTAGTAATTTAAATATTTAAACTGTTATTAGTATTAACTGTTATTTACTTAATACCTTATTGTAAATATAATAAATTAATAAAAAAAAAAATTTTTTATAATTTAATTTTTAAATTTTGGTTAAGTATAAACTAACTATATTAAAAGTAAAATATTATGTCAGTTTTTATTAACTTAGTATCAGCAAATTAAATGTAAATAAAATTTATTTAGTCACGTAACAATAAAAATAATTATCAAAATTTATAAATTGTAAAAATATATATAAATTAACGACCGTAATAATGGTTGAAGTCTTTTAATAAAAATAAAATAAATGAAAAAAATCGTTTTATATGTTATGTTCAATAATACATAATTATATTATTAATTTAGTATATTTACTATGGTGAACGATAATTATATATTCTAAGTTAGAAAAATACTGATGTCTTAGCTTCCATTTTTCTTTTTATTTTATGTGGTTGTTTTTATTATTCTTTGTCGTTATCATTAATTTGTCATTGTCGTCACTGTTAATTTTTTTTTGTTAAATGTGAAAAAATAACAAAAAAGTTATTTTATTTCTATGGATAAGTGCAGAAGAATGAAGAGAATTTTTGACGAAAAACAGTTTTGTATAATTTTACTACTTTAATTAAAATTAAATTCGTCTACATAAATAAAAAACATGGCCTATATTGTTTTCAACATCAGGTAATATTACTTATCATAGCTTGTTGGTAATCCATTTTTTTTTAAAATCATTTTAAGGTTGTTTATTTTTATCTGATTTTTAAAATTAAATGTCCATTTTGAATAGTTAATAATCAATATTGTGTTTTCAGAAGAAGATAAAGCATCTAACAAAAATAAAAGTACGCATTATTGATTTAAAATAAAAAATATATTTAGTCTCATGTAGCATATAAATTTTCAATGTTAACAATCATTTTAAGAATATTAAATTATATCTGATTTTTAAAATTATAAGTTCATTTTGAATAGTTAATCAATATTATGTTTTCAGGTTCAGATCTACTTTCGGGATATAAAGATGGTGATGGTAAACAATATTGATTTAAATAAAATTAAAAAAATTTAGTCTCATGTAAAATATTAATTTGCTATGTTAATATCAGTATTATCATTTATAATTTTTTTTTAAACTTATATAATATTGATTAATTAAATTTTAATGATTAATAATTTGATTAAAATAAAATATTCTCAATAAATCTGCAGAAAACTATTATGTTTTATTCTTTAATTTCTTTAGTAAAAAAAAAAATTTAAAAAAAAAATTTAATTCTTTGATTTATTGATTACAGATTGGATGGAATATGCTGAAAGTAATTTTTTTGAAACAGAATTTCTTAAATAATATTATGATTATTGTCCTAGTAGTTTAAATATTTAAACTGCTATTAGTATTAACTATTATTTATTGAACATCTTATTTTAAAAATAATAATTTAATTTTTAAATTTTGGTGAAGTATAAACTAACTATATTAAAAGTAAAATAACATGACAGTTTTTATTAACTTAGTATCAGCAAATTAAATGTAAATAAAATTTATTTAGTCACATAACAATAAAAATAATTATCAAAATTTATAAATTGTAAAAATATATATAAATTAATGACCGTAATAATGGTTGAAGTCTTTTAATAAAAATAAAATAAATGAAAAAAATCGTTTTATATGTTATGTTCAATAATAAATAATTATATTATTAATATAGTATTTTTACTATGGTGAACGATAATTACAAATTCTAAGATGATAAATATGGTAGACATGATTGATTTAAATAAAATTTAGTCTCATATAACATATTATTGTGCAATGTTAATATCAGTTTTATTATTTATATTTTTTTTAAACTTATATAATATGGATGAATTAAATTTTAATGATTAAAAATAAATCTTCTAAAAAAATCTTCACAAAACATTAATGATTTTTAATTTTCTATTTTCTATAGTAAAAAAAAAATGAAAAAAAAACATTTAATTCATTGTTTTTATTAGTTACAGGCGAAGACGATGAATACATTAATTTTATTAATCATTTTGAGACAGGTTTGTACGAAGATTAATTGATTTTATAAGAACATCGATCTTTTTGTGGCATAAATTTATGAATAATGCATTAATCTTTTATTTAAATTCGAAAATTGAATATTGTTAAATGTTTATTTTACATATGATAACAAGTTTGTAGAAAAAAATTATCTTTTGACACACTTGTGATCCTATTTCACGAAACATATTTTAAAACATTGTCATTGATATTTTAGTATTTATTATTAGTTTATTTTTATAATTATAAAATTTTTTAATTGTGTCTTAACACTTTTATTAGCTTCGATGCGAAGCTGAGAAGGTATTGGTTTTACTAAGATGTGTTTTTTTTTTTTTTTTTTTTTTTTTTTTTTTTTTTT